CTGTGCCGGGCTTCGCCCCTTGGCCCCGGGCCCAGCTCTGGCTCCTCGCTACGGCCTGGCCTTGGCTGGGTGCCTGTGGGCCACCCCCAGCACCCATGGCCTTCTGCGGCTGCGGGGGAACGTCACATCCTGGATGCTCTGTCAGGCCCAAGGGCAGCCACCGCCCCGCCGGGCTCCCTCCCAACAGCTCCCCAGGGTGGCGAGGGCTGAGGCCAGGGTTGAACTCAGTGCAGGAATGGGCACGTTCCCTGTGCAGGGCCTAGGTATCACCCACAGTGTGTACAGGTTGCATGAGCAGTGCCCACTGTGTCATTAGCAGTGTCACAGTGCAACTGCAATGCGTTTTTAATGGGACAGAGCTGGGTCGTTAGTGCTGGGGTATATTTGCAGTGTAAGGTGGCTCGTTAGCAGTGTTGGGGTGTACTTGCAGTGCTGAGGTCGTTCACTAGCAATGCTGGGGTGCATTTGCAGTGCAGGGTGGTTCATTAGCACTGGGGCGTATTCGCAGTGCTGGGTGTTTCGTTAGCAATACATTTGTGGTTCGTTGAGCGCTGGAAGGTGCATTTGCAGTGCAGGCTGGTTCGTTAGCTGCACTGGGGTGCGCTTGCACTGCAGGGTAGTTCGTTACAGTGCAGTGGTGGTGCACGAGCAGTGCCAGAGTGTATCTGCAGTGCATTAGCAGGTTGTAAGCAGCGCAGGGTGGGTCGTGAGCAGCACTGAGGTGTACTTGCAGTGCTGGGGTGTAGTTGCAGAGCAGAGCAGCTCATTAGCAGTACCAGCATGTATCTACAATGCATTAGCTGGTCATAACCACTGCAGGGATGGTTCATGAGCAGCACTGAGGTGGCTCGTTAGCAGTGCAGGACAGTATAATTGCAGCACACGGAGCAGTTGCCAACGCCCTGGCACACCAGTAGCAGTGCAGTGCTCTCCCCCAGCAGTTTCTGCCCTGCACCCAGCTTGCCTTCTCCCGCCTGGCCGGGGGACAGCGTGAGGGTCACAGGATGTCAGCCAGGGCTCCGTCTCACAGAGATGGACACCGCAACCCCCGCGGCCGGAGCTGGAAGAACGCCGATCCCTCTCGTACCTTGGATTCGTCCAACTTCGGTACTTTGGGATGTCGGCTTTTTTGGCGGTGGTCCTCCAGAGGTGCACAGTCGCAGAGGGCAGAGAGCCGGGCCAAGCAGCAGCTTGGCGAGCTGAGGTGCGCGTGTTGCTCAGCTTGGAAACCTCGCTGGCTTCCGCCGCACGTTCCAGCTCTCCGGCGCGGGATTTACGGCGGCTCTCAGTGGCTTGGTCTTGCGGCAGATCCCAGGAACGCCACCAGCTGAAGCCCTCGCTCTGACTCGCAGTGCAACCTTCCAAGGAAAACTATTTTTTTGGCCTGCAAGGCTGCCTGTGGTGGGTCTTTGGGGAAAAGAAAAAAAAAAAAGGGGGGGGGGGAAAATCAGAAAAGAACAGAAATGCAGAGACAGAGCCCCTGGCTCCTGTTTTAGAAATCTCTAGTATTGCTCCAGCGGACGCCTCGTCGGCAACTCAATCACAACTGGAGATTTGTTTCAGGTTTGGAAGTTTATTGCAACTTCAAGCTCTGGGTTTATTCCAGATGGTAGAGGGTCTGTATCAGACTTCAAACACTTCATACCACAAGCATAGATCATAACATTTAATAACAAGTCAGCACCTAATTTGCTGAGCTTGATACGGCTTCGTTAATCCTGCGACAACATTTGGCAGCCGGGTTTTGAACCTGAATAAGACGACTGACCTTAAAACTTGCGTCAGGGAAAACGGGCTTCACTGAAGCTTCGCTCCGAGTAAATCGCTGGAGCGGTTCTCTGCACAAACAGCGGCCTGATTTCTAGATGTAATCAAGTTGGTACTCAAAAACCCAATTACGGACCCTAGTTCTCATGCACTAGTGGAGGTAGATGAAGTTAATGCATTTCATGACAAAAAACCCAACAACCAACCATCTCCTTTCCAGGGAGTAAACAAATAAATATTCCCTACGGGGAAGAATACGGTATTCTAAGTATTACCAGGATGGGAGATCATTAAAGGACCAAGTCTCTGTCACACAAGAAATCATACAGCTTTATTGCTGTGTTTAAAAACCAAACAGCTGTCAGGCTCTAATCACGGCTTTATTTTGCAAACCCAGCTTTTCAATTCTAAAATTCAAAAAGGTGGTGAGGCAGCTCAAGTGTTTCTCAGGGAATGTACAGCTTCCTGCAGTCTTCAACCTAGGAAAAAAAAAAGTACGTCGAAAGCAGAACTAAGCAAGTCTACAGAACAAGACAAGTTAAGCACACGCCTGCTCCCACAACAGAGCAGCTGGGTCCCTCCCCTTGAATAAAAACCAAAACCAGCCACGCTTCTGGCACTGCACATTCAGATACTGCATTCAATAAGAGAGGAGAAAAAAAACAAACAATTAAAAAAAATCAAAATAATGGATTATACAACGGTGCGGGACAATCACCTTCACACAAACATTCACAGAGTTATTCTTGCTGCGGCTCAGCAGCTGCTGGTGGATCCTCCTCCTCCTCTTCCTCCTCCTCCTGCTCACTGCATCCAGCTGGAGCTGCCTCACTCGCAGCTTCCTCCTCCTCCTCCTCCTCTTTGGCTGCCCAGCCATCAGTTTTGCTTTCTGTGGAAGCTGCTGGCTCCTGGGGAGGTTCTGGAACTGAAGGCAGCTCCTCTGAGCTTGCCTCTACGGCTGCTCCTGCCTCTGCCACTGCTTCAGCTTCCGAAGTTGCTTCGGCTTCCGAAGTTGCTTCGGCCGTCGCATCCTCTGCTGCGTCCTCTGCTTCGAGTTGGTCTTCATCTTGCAGGAAAGGAGGCATCAGCAGCTGTTTCGGGTGATCTTGTTCCCCCACGTGTTTAAGAAACTCCTCGTTTTTAGACAATTCTTCTGAAGCACCTTCCGTTTCTTCTCCTGCTTTAGCCACATCCGTAGCTTCACCTGGGTCCCCAATGCCTCCTTCCTCCGTCTGGGCAGTCTCTGCAGTAGCGTTTTCGTTTGCTCCTTCCCCACCTCCATCGCCACCTTCCAAGGCCTCCGCTTCATCCACATCCTGGTCAGCAATTTCGTCCGTAAACGGATCTTCGCCCTGATGAAGAGAGAGGGGAAGAGAGAAGAGTCACTGCACCGTAGTGAGGCAGAGAGAACCTCAGACATGAAAAGCAGAGGTTTGCAACTGAAATCGATTGGAAACGGAAGATTCTCAATCGTGGAAATCCATCGTGTCAAGCCCCAAAGCTGCTATAGACACTGCGCGTGCTAACCTTTCAAGCGAGAGAAGCGCCCCAGGAGAGTGCTCGAATCCTGCATCTTGGAGTGCATAGATCTCCCGCGCCCCGCTCAGCACGCGGGTACCAGGGAGGGCTCCTATGCTAAGGAAGGACTGTGTGTGCTGCGATACCTGCGAGAGCAAGCCCGGGCCATCAGCTGTGCTCTCGGCTGGGAGGAACTCAGCTCGCGGAGACCGTTAAAAACAATTCCTCAACCTCTGTCTGGTCCCAGCTGGGTGCACAGAACTCCCCCGCAGCGGGAGAGGTGTGGGACGATCAGCAAACTCAAGGCCTTCCTATCGCCCTTCTCTGGAGACCAAGAAATCCAGATGTAGGAAGCAACGTAACTAACGTTAACCTCGCGTACACACAGCCCTGGCAGCCCCGGTACGAGGCTCTCGCTCTGTGCGTCCCACACCACGCGCTAGCAGGGATCTCCTCGGGAGATCGAGGCCCTGAGGGTTCGACCTCGTTACCTGCGTTCAGGCCGACACCGGCTCCTACCACTGCCCCCATCGGGGCAGGGCCCACTTTGTTTGGCTTTGCTTGCGTTTCAGAGTTAGGTGGGGGCGAGCACTGTACGGTCAGTGGGCGCAGGACCCTAGCGTTGGCCCTGCCACAGAGTAGGCGCCACTGTGCCACGACCGAGGACAAAGCGTGGTTCTAAACTCCCTCTCCCTTCCTCACAGGTCACCAAGGTACGCGGACGGATGGCCTGCAACAGATGAAATGTGAAGGGAGGAGGGCAGCATGCCAGCGGCAGAAACCTCGCCTGAAATCTGATCGACCGTGACCAAGAGTTTCGGAACTCTCCCGCCACAGCTGTGCTGGAGGCCAGGAGAGAGAAGTTCTCCTACTCCACCACAGCGTCTGTGATGTCCTGACAAGCGGAGGCACGCCGCTGACGGACAGCCCAGGAAACCCAGGCTGTCTCTGCTCGCTAGTCAAAAGGGTTTCGTGCGTTTTTCTGCCTCACAGACCAGATCGATCAGAGATTCAGACCAGATTGGCTGCCTCCACAAGAGCAGATCCATGCAGGTGGAGGACAAACACAATGTTAAATCTTCTCTGGCTGCGGTTCAGACAGCCAGTCTTACCTATTGAGGTTCTGGAGGATAGGGGGGAACTTCAGGCTATACCTTGCGATCTGGACCCATGTCCGTTATCGCTGGTAAAATCTACGGGGGATATGAAGTCCACTATTGGTGGAGACTGTCACGGCCTCCCTTTGGAAGGGCGAGGTGCCCAGCATCCCTCAGAGGAGGAATCGTTAGGCCCACGTTCAAGAAATCATCTCTTGATGCTGACAGTCTTGTCAATTATCGCCCTGTCTCCGGCCTTCCTTTCTTGGGGAAGGTTGCCGAGAGTGTTTTGGCGAGGCAGCTCTGGCATTACCTGGAATCCTCAGATTTCCTCCACCCCTTTCAGTCTGGTTTTGCACCTGGGAATGGTACGGAGACCGTGCTGGGATGGGTCGAAGATCTCCTCCTGCCGATGGACAAAGGTCAGGTGCCCAATGCTGATTCATTTAGATCTGCCGGCAGCCTTTGATACCGTTGATCATGAGGTGTTGTTGACGTGCCTGCGGACCCTGGCAGGGGTAGACGGAGTTGCACTTGAGTGGTTCCGTTCTTTCCTCTGAGAGATCCCAGAGGGTAGCACCGGGCAAACGCTCGTCTGCCCCGAGGGCTCTCTCGTGTGGGGTACCGCAGGGTTTTATGTCACCCTCCTGTTCAACGTGTATGAGAGGCCGCTAGGGGAGACAGCCTCATCACTTGGCTGCAGTGCCATCATACGCTGACAACTCTCAGCTCAAAGTCTCTTTCACTGGACCCAGAGGGTGGAGTCGCAGTTTTGCTAGAGGCTAGCAGAGACTGGGCATGATGAGAGCTAGCTGGCAGAGGCTCAATCCGGATAAGACCAAAGTGATGCCGGTGGGACAGGGGAAACATCTGCTCCCCCGTGTGAGGGGGGTGTGCCTGCCCTGTCAGCCAAGTTTGCAAACAGGGGTCCTGTCGGATCCTGGGCTGCTCCTGGACTTCCAGGTAACAGCAGTAGCCAAAAGCGCTTCTTTTCATCTTCGCGTGGCAAGGAGGTTGCGACCTTTCCTCTCAGATGCGGACCTCGCCCGTCACCCACGCCACCTCCAGACTGCATTACCGCAACGCGCTCTACACGGGCATCCCCCCGAAGGCCGCCCGGAAACGGCCAGGGGGGCGGCGCGCGACCGCCCGCTCGCTCGCTCAGCGGCGCTTCCGCATGGAACATATTACCACCATGCTCTGAAGACTGCGCTGGCTTCCAGCTTCTTTCTGCCATTCCAAGCGCTGGTTTGGGCCTAGCGAACCCTACCTGGCGCAGGCCCTGCCCTCTCCTCGTGCTCCGTCTCAACAGTGAAGATCGGCTGGGGTGCTCTGTGCCACTTCCCAGCTCGGATCTCAAGGGAAGAGGAGGGGGCTAGCGGGAGCGTTTCGGCTCACAGGAATTGGATGCCCCTGGCGCTCTGTCACTCGGTTGAGCTGCTGGGAGTGCTGCGGAGCCCAGCTGTTTACACCGGGTAAAATTCACCCTGGTGCAGGGTGGAGTTAGCGGGGGGCCCAGGAGCCTTCCAAGTCCAATTCAAGTCCTGCGGGACTCAACTGGTGGCTACCCAGCCCGCACGCTCGCTCTCTGCACTGGGGTGAACCTGGCCCCCAGGCCACTGCTTGAGGGCTGGCGTGCGGGCACTGGAGTTCCTTTTGCTATTTGTGTCTCTGAATTATGTTTCCGTTTGGATGGTTTCATAACTGAGCTACATGCGCCTGGGAATTACAGTAGGTACAGTCTGCAAGTTAAAAAACATGAGAAGTGGTAAACCGCCTACAGAGAAAAGAAACCAGACCCAAGATTTAGACTACAGATAAGAGAGCGGAGTGGAATCTACGCTTCTCCCCAACGTACGTAGCAGGGTGTTCTGTGACCAACATGCAGCACACGCAGTGATACTCGGCTCTGTGCTCCGCACTACTCCAGCATTCAGGACCAAGGTGGAGCCTGTCCCCCACTGCTCCGGCAACTCTGCACGAGTTGACGACTTTCTCGCTCACTCACCTTGAGGTACTTCTCTAACATCTTGACAATGTGTTTGTTATTGAGGACGCTCTTGGCGACGTGCAAGCTAGTCTTCTTGAACTGCTCCGCAGCCATCTAAAAAGCAAAGAAACATTGGGGTTACTGGGCCAGTCCGAAAGGGGAAGAGTTCTTACCGGGGTCTGGCTCGAGATGCTATATTCCCTCCTTCTCAGCAAGGCTCGGAAAACTCAATCTCTCACTCTAGCCAGTTCCCCAGAGCAGGTCGCAAAGGGCAGTTGCCAAGGCAAGGGAGCACCAGCACTTCGTCTGCAAACCCGAGCCCTGAAAAAAAATGCATTTCAGCACCATCAGCTGGAACATCCCCCAAACATCCAACAATCCTCAGCGTGGAAGAGTCCAGGATGGCTACGCAGAAGGCAACGCGCGTGTTAGATGTTTGAAGACAGCGGAGATGAAGACTACTCTGAGGGACTTGCGTGTTTCTGTTCCGACCGAACCTCGCCCTCTCCTAATCTGCACTTGCATCGAGAGATGACAACCCTCATAGGCTTCTGCGCTACCGGCAGCTAAGGCAGCTCCACAACCACCGGGGAGCGGAGCCTGGAACATCTTCCAGAGGGGTTGGCTGGTTTTGCAGAGCTTGTAACGTTTTCTCCAAAGACGCAAAACAGCTCGAGTTGGTCAGCCACGATTACACTGCATAACAAAAAAAGCCTGCTGCTTCCTTCCTTTCTTTTTACCAGCATAACCCTTCCACTGCCCCTCATCAACCTGGGACTGGACTGACCCAGTTGTCTTAAAGCCCCTCTACAGCTGTGCCAATTTAGACGCTGATTATATCTGAATTCCCCAAGTGCCCTCAATGTTCCCTCAGAGCTGATCTAAGAGTCTTAGAAAGCAAATTAAGAACATTTATTCTGCAAATTTATATAATATGCCTGAACGTCAAGCAGTCTGACCCCAAAGGGAAAGGAAAGGGTACTGGATATTTCCGTGAAGCCGTGTTCGTCACAGACCAGTCAATCGTAATGGTGGATCTGGCCCTGTCTGTTTGGAAAGTGCAAACCCCAAACACTACTCCTGACCCAGAGGATTTTCTCCCAAGCCTGGCCAGTGAGAAGACAACAGCTTCAGGTCCTACTGGCAGTTCACATTACAAAAATCACTGATGTACCCTGCTAACACCTCAGCACAAAGGAAAAGCCGGGGTCTCTCTTTCAATATAACCTCTTCTTTGCATTGTCCCTCCCACTTCCAAGACGCACCCCCAGCATTTGCTCAGCTCCTCAGGTTTCCCTACAAAAGAACAAACCCCCACATAGGCCATCCACCAGCATCCCACAAACCCCTGGTAGTTCCCATTAGTTCCCACTTAGTGACTCATCTTGTTGCGCTCTGATCAGAGAATGCATGTTTTAAGAGGCTGCAAAGTAAATCAAGCCAACGCCACAAGTAAACCTCAAGCCCAGACTGATATCCCCTTACCTAGGCTCTCAGCAAAGATTAAACACTCCGGTTTGGAAGTGAAAAGAAGCAAGGGCGGTTGCTTACTCTGCGGTTTCGGTTGTGATCTGCAGATCGCAGATGCCTCTGGAGAAGGTGGTTCTGTGCGGGAATTAACATGTCACAAGCCATACAGTGAGCTGCCTCAATCTTCTTGAAGAAGTGTTCCTGGCCAATACCTACAGCAACGACAAGACGTCAGCCAAAATTCAAAGCAAGTAAGATCTTCCCCTGGCTAATGTCCAGCAGAAGGGCCCGCTTCCACCCCCTCTAACCCAATAACAGCCATGGTCACAGCCAACATGCTAACTCAGCACTCATATTCCTTGCTGTTTCTGCCTTCCTTTTGGAGACAAAAATCACATACCTTATTCTAAGTCAAGGAGGAGAGAAGTCATCAGTTATTCTGCTCTTAAACAGAGCCTACCAATGCAGGACCCAAGTGCATGAGGAAGAGAGGCTGTTTAGGGTGACAGCCCAAGGCACAAAACAATTTACTTACCTGAGGCAAAGCCGGGAACTGAACCCTGTTTTCCTCTGTCCTAGTTGAAACCAGCCTGCCCCTCCCAGCCTCTGATTCAGAAGTCACAAAAGTGGAACGGACAACTGAAGTTTCCCCCAGCTTTAGGATCATCCCTTCTTTCTACCTATGCTCAGATTCTCCATCTAAAAGCCTGCGCGCTCATTTTGGAGTCCACGTGTGGCTTAACTAAACCACATTCACCACGACAGGCCCAGCCTCCCAGATTTGGGCCAAACGTCCTTTTGCGGCTGAGTGGTACAGACTATATGGGAGAAAGGCGTGTTGATCAGGCTAAGTGGATTTTTCTCATCTCACTTTATGCCAAAGCCCAAATGAATCAACCTCACTGCTTTCAAAAGTTTTTTTTAACGTTAGAAGTGAACACAGGATCAAGCCGTGTTAACTGAACGACCACAAAGCCAACAATCTTTGAGGAGCTTTTCACTCTCCACCTATTTTAACATTTGTACCACTGCAACTGTCTTATGAACCTACTGTTTGGGAAGCTTCAGTGAGGACAGGCATTCTCCCTTTCCCAAAAGGGGACTCATTTCACAAAGCTGGCCGGAGCTTAACACCCAGCACCTGAGGCGGAGTTCTGGCAAATTTCTGCGAGGTTCTGGCAAATTTTGTAGGTAAACAGGAAATTCAGCAGGTACTTCACCTCTCTCTTTGCAGCTCTGACAGAGGACCCGGGTGGCCCATTTTGTCCTGCTTCCCCTCTTTTTAGCTGCCAGCAGGCTATTAAGCCCTACCAGCCAGCCTGTCCCACTCCTGTGTTTTGGGGACAATCCCTTTTTCTCAGTTTGCACAAGATTAGAGAAAGGTGGCCGCTTTCCGCTAAAGGAGTAGCCACGCTTAGGCATCCAAGGGCCTGCTTAACACCTGATCCATCTGCTATTATCAACAGGTAACAGGGTACAAACACCCCCTGCCCACGGGAGCCCTGAGCCACAACAGATCCTTACATACACAGGCGTCCACGCTCGGCCTCCAGACACGGCTACCTACCCTTAAATGGATCTGGCTTCTGTTTTGTGCCCTCTTTCTCAGTCAGCTCCTGACGACGCTTCTCGATTTTCTTATTCCTGTTCACGATGTACTCCTAGAGGGGAAGACGACAGAACTCACTAGCCTCCACACAACTCACCGATATGATCGAGTAGCACAGAAGGAAAGTGAGATCTCTTCAGAAAACCCAAGGAAGATTGCAGTTAGTTAACTGACTAGATGAGCCAGATGTTTTCTTGTCCCCTTCCCCTGTCACCTCTACCATAGCAAGAACCTAACAATCCAAATCAGAGCTAAACTCGGCACCTCTTAGAAGCCTATTCTCCTGTCACCATCAGGTTCGTATTTTTAAGGAGCACTGAGGGAGACAAAGTGCTTGACAGATGCCACTCAACAGCTCCAAAACACCTGGCATCCAGGAAATAAAATGCCCCAGCCCTCATCTCTCATGCCATCTACACAGCTAGGCCAGAGGAAGGAGAGGACAATTTACACAATATTCATTCCTGGCTTTTCTGTTTAAATTCCCTTTGGAAGGGAAACAGTTATTTGCATGACAACGCACGAGAAACCACATCACGTCAACCGATGTCCTCAAGGGATACAAGTGATGTGAGCCAACAAAGCAGGAGCTATAGGTGAATGAAATCATAAACCCTTCCACTCATCACACAAGTGTGGAAATCCTAAAGTATCAGAAAAGTCACAGAAAGGTTAAACCACTGGGCTACCACATACCTGCAGAAACTCAACAGTTTTGTCTGGAAGTTTGGTACCAATGTATCGCAAGGTCTCTTTGTGAAACTTGCTCTGTAGATGTTTCTGGATTTCATCTTCCTCAAAACTGCGGAACTTGCACACAGAACAGGCAAACTGGATTCTACGCAGAGCAATCGTACCACAAATCAGGAACAAGTTAAACTTTTAATGAGAAGATCAAGACTGTCACCCTCCATTCTAGTTTTCCACCTATCACCTTTCTCTTCAAGATTCAAAACGCCACGCTACTCCAATTATATTATACTTCGTAGCGCACCTTCATAATCATTTTGTAACCTACAGGGATTAAACAGTATCTATTTCTCCATAGAAGAGGAAGTTACATTACAGGAACATATGCTAAAACCCTGCATGGGTTTAAAAGCAACGGGACAAAAATCACAGGGCAGGAGATCAGTTCAACACTCTTAAATACGAAAACACTCTCCCAGGCTTGGGAAATCCCCGAGTTATAAAAACCCTGGATGCTGATTGAGCGTTTGGGGACATATCACTACCATGTCCCCTAGGCACCCTTCACTGACCACTGTCAGGTGGGATGCTGGGGTAGACGGACAACCTGTCTGATCCAACACAGCTTTTAAGATGTCACGGAAGACCACAAACTGGTTAGTCTGTCTTCAGATCGTTTACCGTATTACTTAAGTAGCAAAGCTGCATCTCATAGCCACTCATTATACTCTTTGGTATTTAGAATTATACATTTATCTATTTATTTTTTTAAAACAGCACAGTATTCCCCTCATTTTAGAAGAATATACATATACAAAAGAAGGGGAGAAAAAAAGTAAAAAAAAAAAAAAAAAAAAAGCTGAAATCAGAATGTAGAGCCCGAGAACATGATCCTCTAGCACTTCAGATTTCTCCCACAACTGCACAGAGGAATAGAGGAATAGTCTAGCTAAATATTATACGGACAATTCAAATATTACAATAACTATTCACAGAAGTGCTGGCAAGGGACTAGCTTGTCATTCCTCTTACCTGTCCATTGCTCGGTCACGCATCCTATCTCTTCTCCGCTGCTTCTCCCTCTTCTTTTTCACCTCCTCATCATCATCTTCACAGCCATCTCCAGATGCTAGGGAAAAAATTCAGAGTTGCTGCATAACAGCTCACGTCTACACACTTCGCTGGCTGAGATATTTTGGGACCCCAGTTTGTTAGCCTCCTATTTACCCTCGGTTTCAGGCAGTCATAACTTCTCCTGGTCTCTGGCAGCTCTTCTGTTTTCCCTCCCTCCCACAAGTCAGCTTCTTGACCACAGGTAAGCAGCAGCCTCTTTTTCAGGTCTCCAGCAGCTATTACAAAACCATTGTCCTCCAACACCCTCAAGTTCCCACAATAACTCAAGTCTTTTTGGACAGCAACAAGACATGCCGTTACTGGAAAGAACGGTCACAAGAGTCATGACTTTCACGGTGCCAGAGAAGCTTTGCTGCAGAGACAGCGCTCTCTTTCACTTCCTTGGGAGGAGCTATTATTTCTCCCTGTACTCTCTTTTCTTCCTCTTTGTCTGCTTTGCCACAGGGCTGAAAAAGCTTCTTGGGAAGATTAAGTAACAAAAGGCAGCACAGATGTTATTAGTGCCTGAGCAGTAGTTCTGCTTCTTTAAGACAGTTTGGTATACTCCTTATGTTGCCTTCCCCATAGCTTTGATAAATATAGGACAAGCGGCAGAGACCCAGCTGGCCTAATCTCCGCAATATTTTAGGGTAGAAAGCTGTGGCTACTGGGGCCAAGGTCTATCGGTCTCACAGAACACGCTCAGGTAATAATTCACCTGCAATGTCTTCAGGTAAAGGAATACAAGACCTGGTTATCAGCGGGAGGTTTCAACAAAAATTTGAACATCCAACTACATCTCAGTTTCAATCCTGAGAATGATCTAAAAGTGGCAACAGCAGCCATTCATGCTGTTCCCCCAAGTCACTCCATAAAGGTAAAACATGCGCAGGGTTGATGTGTCCTAACTAAAAAGTATAATCAATTTATTGCACGTGTCTCCACTTCAGCAAGTAACAAGCTCAACATCCTCTGCTTTATAGTCTCACAGAACAGTCATAATTTCAAATTCACAGTGACATACAGAGCTCAAAAGAGCTAGATAAATCCTAAAACCAAGAGAATGAATCTTTAAGTCATAAAACAAAGACCCAAACAGGCCAAGAGAATGTGATCAACACGTTCAAGCTAAGTTTTTCCTGAAAGCAAACCACTGCCAATGAATATGAGGACTCACAGAGGCAGCGTCCCCCTGCACACAGCTCCTACAAGTGGGGCACAATCTCGTTCTAAACTCCAAAGAATTAAATCCAAAGACAGCTGAAGTGGTTTCAGATACTCCGGACCATCAAGGTTTTAAGTGACCCTTCTGATATACTTTGATTTAGTCCCAGCTATTTGAAAAAAAACAGGGTTTAGCATAGCTACCGAAGCCACCACGAAAGCGATGCGGTTTATGACAATTTTGGTTTTGTTCTGCCCTGTGGCTAGATGCGCGCTTCCTCACCACCCTCATCCAAGCAGGGCAGGAAGATAAACTGATGCTACGGCTAAGACTTCATGTCTCCCTATCCATTTGTACAGGCAGCAACGGTCCATATGAAGAAGCCTAGAAGCAATGCAGCTACTTCATTAGTACCCCGCAAAAAAGCCAAGATAGGCAGTGGCACACCTACCGGAGCCCTGGACCAACTGCCTAACAGGTCACAGCAGGGGCTGCATCAGCTTTTGACCAAAAAAACAAACAAACAAAAAAAACCACAAAAAAAACCCCCCCCAAACTCTAGATAGTGCCAAAAGGCAAAGCACACCGATTTGGAGTACATCCAGTTCACAGGAGGCCTGCACGCTGCGGGAGCCACCCTACCTTCCTTTGCCAAATCGCCACAACTCCCATTCTCCTGGAAAACAAAAACAACAAAAGGGCACCGCTGTCATTTACTGTGATTTGGAAGTTTCACACTCTACCCTGCCACCAGCAAGACTGTAGAGCAGAGGAAGGATTGGGTCATTTGGGGATTAAATGTCAACATTTATCATCACATCTTTTACAAAATAACAGCGAGATGTAACCCGATGTGTGAAACGACTAAGTATTGCTTCTCACTGTCAAAACTTAAATACTTCACAGAAGAGTCACCCCTCCAGGAAACACCTTACTAAAGATTACGTGCAGTCACAAGCCACGTTAGACAAATGACAATGACCCCCATCCAACCCGGTAAACAAACCAAAGAGAGTAAAGAAGTCAACCCCTAATTCGAACTTAGACCTAACGAGAATCACTAGTAAAGCCAGGAGCAGAAGTACAGGGGCAGTGTCCCAAATCTTGCACTATGGTGCTTTTAGGACCTTGGCAAAAGCACCTCTGTGCAAATGAATCTGCCAGTAATCCTTGCTGAAGGGCATGGGGAAATTATGAGAAACAAGTACTTTCAGAATGTAAGTGTTCAGAATGCTAGTTCTAGATAATTTTTAAAATTTTGCCCTTGACACCGTCAAGAGAACAGACTACTATAGTGCTTAAATGCTCCCACATTTGCCACAAAGACGTCAAGGAAAAAAAAAAAAAAAGTTACTTACACCTTTGTCAGCTTCATCTCCTGATTTTTCCTCTCCTTCGCCCTCATCTGCTGCACACAAGAAAAATCATTTAGCTGGTGTGTTGGGGGAAGTATTTCCTCACGCTTAAGACTGCAAGGGAGCCTGCTGGCATCTAGTAAGTCATCAAGTACTGGGATAATGGCTCAAAACCCTAGTGAAGACATCAAATTGCTTGCTGTTTTCTCCTTGCCAGTCAGCCTCTGCTGCCAACTGTCATTACTTTCATGATGCCTACCTCGGGCGTTACTTTTGTTCTAGGCCATAAACTACTACTATAAAGACCGTGCACGAGGAGGCACTTACAGGAGTACTACAACATTAGCAATGCTACGGACTAACGAGTCCGATAGCGTTGAAATTTAACAACTAACAGTCAGTTGAAAGACAGAACACTTAAAAACGTGGGGGAAAAACGACTAATATTAGAGTACGAAGACAAATACGTACCATTCTCAGTGTCGTCTCCTTCGCTGTCAGTCTTTGCCTGTTTGCTGTCTGGCTCATCTCCGCTTTGGGACTGTTTTCGCTTGCGTCCGCCTCCTTCACTATCTGATCGCCCTCCTGAACGGTTGCGGAAACCTCTCCTCTTGGGCTAGAGTCAGAAGAAATCAGTCACCCTGATCAGCCCTACGTACCAAAGAACTTATCAAAATATACCACCCCTCTGCTATACCTCCCCAAACAGTTTAAGCCCACACGACCCCAGAGACTTCTATCTAACTATAAAAGGATTTGCTGCCTTACTTCTAGCTGGATTGAACAAACAAGTTAGCGTCCCACTACCCTCCAGAGCCGATTCTGGAAGGGGTAAGTATTCAGAGGCTCTATCTTATTTGCAAAAAAAACACCACAGGTACGTGCAAGCTGGCTGACACTTTGCTCTGCCTGGGAGGACTTAAATTTTTCAGAGGTGGAAGCAACCTGAGGCAGACTGGTGCTTCTCTAGAAAACTGAATTCTGCAGGTTATCAGCAAAGCCTAGCACTGAGGCTGACCGCAGGAGCAAAAGCAAGCTGACCGGAGCTCTACAGGAAAAACGGTGACAGCACCGACTTACCATGAGAGTATTCAGGTGCCACGGCACTGTACTCACTCTGTCTCTGTTTCGTTGCCTCCCCATTCCATACGGCATATTACCATACCGTCCCATTCCCATGCCCGACATCCCCATCATGCCATAGTCATAGTCTCCATAGTCCCCATAGTCGCCGTAGTCGCCATAATCGCCATAATCTCCATAGTCGCCGTAGTCACCATAATCACCATAATCTCCATAGTCGCCGTAGTCGGGGACAAGGGCTTGGGAGAAGAGAGAAGGGAGCCTGTTGGGACCGGGACCACCCATCCCACGCCCACCCATGTAGTTCAACTCATTCCAGCGAGCCGACAGGCGCTCTGTACTTGAGGAGGGCATGAAGTGGTCAGAGCGATTGAAAGCATTAAGACGCCCCCGATTCTGAACACGGTTTTGCCCTCTTCCTCTGATGAGGCCATAGTTGTTTCCTCGGTTGCGAGGCTGATCCCTGCGGCTGTCAAACTGGCTCCCAAAGGAATCGTTCCGATCAGTTCCCACTTCTCCGTAATCGTAGCCAGATCTGTACATGTCACGGTCGTTCATTGAAGACCTCGAGTCATACGATTCAAAAGACTCAAATCTGAAAGAGCTGCACAGCAAGAAGAGAACGGTCAGCAGCTAGAATAACGGTCCCACGCTTCATACAGTCATTTGTATCTATTTATTATCACAAGCCAAATGTTTTTAGCCAGAAGAAATTTTTTTTTTTAAACCCTGCTTACTACTTTCATTCCACATCACCTTTTCCTTAGTCTCGGGAAGCTTAGGAAAAAAAAAAAAACCCAACCAAACAAAAATTGTGTTTTCTGCACAAACATCTGAACAGAAACCCTTTGGAGACGTCATGACCTTACCAGCTATATAGCACTACAGCATCAAATCAGTTCGAATTATGATTTATCAGTTGAAAAGCAGATCCCAAAAGCTTCCCCACTGCAACCCACACAGAGGTAAAGCCAAAAAGAAAACATTGCTTCTCAACTTCAGGGTCAGCAATTTAGAACTGAAAGGGGACATACTACCTAGTAAAGAATCTCAGCTGCAGAAAAAAGGAACATCAAAACAACTAGACACTGGTACGAACAAAAGCACAATTACTGGCTTGAAAGAGAAGCCCTGTAAAAAGCTAAAAAGCACCTCTTTGCTAGAAAGAGGCAAACTCCAGGGTTTTGTCCAGCCTGCAGGCAGATCTAACAGCAGGGAGAACCTGACAAGAGAAAACAAACAACCCCATCTTTAAGAGGAAACTCTTAGCTGTGTCTCCGGGTATGGAATTAATGCAGATAAGCAATAATTGGCAGAATCTTGGCTGACCAAAGCAGCAAGCATCAAAATGGCAGGGAAAAGCAAAGCTTCATTTATTTGGTAACTCTTGCCAGGATGTGCGTTACTGTTTGAGCAGCAAAGCATGCACCGATAGGAAACAACTCTCCAGACTGGCATAATTTAACACAGTGGGACAAAAAATGTACTAGATAGCCATGACAAAAAAAAACAGATGCAGGTGAAAAGATACTTTAAAGAAACCTAAAAACCAAAAATAAAAAATTGAAATAATATATTTTTACAGATAGTCAACAACAGAAGTGGCTTCTAATGCTAGATACATACATACACATATACACACACATATATATTGTATTAAAACAAAATCAGGATAGGTTAAAAAAAAAAAGTAACAGCATGCAACCAAGCTTGTTTTCTCAACAACAAATGCTGAATCATGCCAATGCAATTACAACAGTTTAACCTGAAGTTTCAGCAATGGGAGATTTCTTTTTGTTTTGTTTTTAAAACTATAAAAGAAACAAGTGCAAGAACAGTCACCTCTCCTGGTCTTCCATGCCTTCGCCTGTTCCACCGCTGCCCTCCTTTGACAGCATATCTAAACGCTGGTTAATTTTGGCTATGATGGAATCTGAGTTCTCGTTTGCCCCAGTTTCGGTGCTGTACGACGCGACGGGCATGTTGGTGTTGACATCAGCGTTCATGCTCATATCAGAAGTTTTGGGAGTTTCCCAAGAACTGGAGGTGGCAGCAGCTGCTGCAGCATAGTTGTACGTGGCCGCTGTATTAGCAGCGGTGGTTTGGGTATTGTAATAGTCATAGCCTTCATAGCCTGGCAAAAAGAAAGAAAATCAATGTAAATACAGTATCATAAAGACACAGGTTTCTGGAAGAAGGGTTTAGATGCTATGGACCCTACCAGGCAAGGTTGCAGCTGGGCTTTACTCCTTAAAGGAAATCTGCTTTCTTAAAGTGAAAAACATCAAGAGTCAGAAGTTTCTTGTTCCCTAACCCTAAAAGCTCAAGGACCAAGAGTTCCTTCCGGTGATTTTAACTGCTAGGAAATGGAACGCTACTGGCCCTAGTAGAAATTTTAGGACAAGCTCGGTGTGCCTTGCTGGACTCTGTCATCTGTCAGCCTAAGCCATCTGTGTTGTATAGCCCAGCAAAAATACCAAAGAGGACCACACTGCTGGGCACATAACCACATATCCAGCAAAGACGACTAAAGCTATGAAATAGTTTAACCAGAAAAAAAAAAAAAAGAAAAAAGAAAAAAGAAAAAAAGCAGCGAGTAAAGAGCATAAAGCCAGCCACCTTGTGGTAAGATACCATAACGTTGAGGAAAAAGCAACGCACTACAGCCGTGCTTGCGTCACGCTTAATGCAAACCCAAAGATCCAGAATAAGGGACGTGCATGTGTGCCCGACAAAACTTGTAACAACTCTACACCCACCACTCGCCAGACCGCCACCCAGGGCTGTGCACACTCTGAAGAGAAACGTGTCCTGAGCCCTGCGCTAAAAAAAGCGAGCTTCCTCTCACAGCTCCTCGATTGCTGCTTTTGACCTGTCATACCCTTTGACATGTCAGTCCTAGGGCTCTCGTAAAGTGACTGCCAAGTGTGCCATGAAGATCCCTCATAATTCTCCTTTGCCGTGATGCCTACAATAAAATTGACAACAGTTAAGGCCACTGGCGCACTGATACCGCTGCCTATTGTGCTGACCTACCGACATTGCCTCATTGTTTCTTTGTATTCCCCCCATCTGCCTGTTTCCATCTGGTGACTTTTGTTTTTGTTTAGATTGTAAGCTCTCTGGAGCAGGGACTGCCTTTCTATTCTGTATTTGCATAATACCTAGCACAATAGGGTGTTAGTCCTTGACTTGGGCTCCCAGGCCTCACAAAGGGAGAAACAATAGAAGGAAAAAAAAAAAAACCACCCCACACACCTCATTTTTGCTCATGACTTGACCTGGGAGGTTTGAATCTACAGCCACAGGTGCAGTGCAATATTCAATTTTTTATAGTGAGGGCTAAAGAAACACTATTTCATAAAGGAGCTCAGGTATTAGCTATGCTCTTGGGAAGGCATTAAGAATAGCCTAAAACAGCCATACAATTCAAATCAAGGCTACTTAACTAAACATTGCTCCAAGAGGAAAGATCTATTACAGAAACACAAACGATGGTTTATTGAGGGAGTGATAGCTTACACGTGGACAACTGCATTTGTTTACCATCAAGATGTTGGAATAACAAGGGCAAACCTTGGGGTTCTGGGGGTGGGGGGGAACCTCATCAGTATTATTTTATTAACACACACATCTGGCTATCCCAGATCAAACAAGAAACAGAGATACAAGATAAATGAGTTTTCAAAAGTTGGCTTCTAGCCAGAACAAAGTTTCTCTTCAGCAAAAGAAGAAAAACGCTCGTAATCATGGAGCAAGGTAAAAATAATTGAGGGCTTCTCTTGGAAGCTGCTCTGCACTTCAGATGCTCTAACAGTGCACCATGAAGAACTAGCAAGGACAAGCAGCTTAAAAGCACATCTTTGTATACTTTTAATTTCCAAGCAGAGACAGCCCGCGAGCTGGGAAACAGTTCCACACGTTAAAGCCAACTCAAGAGGCTGAGGAAAGCATAGAAACAGCTGAACACACAATGTATTTAACACATACCTTGCCAGCTTGTCGCATTTGTCGCATATGTACCTTAAGAGGGCAAAAGAAAGACTGTTTCAGCATTAAAAGCAACAAATCATAGAAGTCAGGAGCTCACAACTAAACACACATAATTCCAGCCAATGCTTGTAAATACTATGTATACTTTTGTATAGAATGGGAAAGAAAGAAGCTAGTACTTCCAAGAGCTACTTATGAAAATGAAATGGAATATACACTTTTTTGTTTTAAAAGAAAAACACTCTTCATTAACACTTCCAAATGTCTGATATTTGCAGTTTTAAACATGCAAATGATTCCATAAAATAAAAAAAAAAATCTCTAGTAAAACGTCCATAGTACCTGTGCAGAGTTTGAATGTCTGTGTTTCAGTACTGAAGTGCTATTCTTAGCACAGACCCATCAGGGTAACAGGAGACCCTAATCACCTGCGGTTCCTTTCTCACCTCAAGCTACAGCCTCACACAGAGGAGCTGCAGAACGGTTCAGGACCACAGTCGGTCTTATTTTTCTAGGTCTGAGCCAGGAAGCAGTAACAATTCAGAAATCAGGCTGCAATTTGGTGTAAATAGTTTCAGTTTCAACATCTGCTCAGCAACCAAACCGTGGCAAAGGCAAATCCGTTCAGGAAGATTATATTACTTGCAGAAGCATCTTGCTTCTTCCACTATTGTCTAGGCTAGAGAGAAGTTCAGAGAGAGCTCAATCTGGCAAATACTTCAGGACATGCTTCATTTTAATTTCATCTCGTTTTAATAAGTCCCATGTGATAAAACAAAGCCCATTATCAGTCATTCGCAAGATTGAGGCGAGTTCTAAGGTAGTTCCTCCAATAGGCAACCCCCAGAAGGTAGAAATTAGAGTACAGCATGAGATGATGGGATGAAACTTAAAAAAAAAAAAACAAAAAACAAAAAAAAACCCACAAGCACAGAGTTACTAGGTAGAGGAGAACGAAGGCTACACGTCAACAAAAAAAGGAGTACAGCACTACAGTACTCTGCTCAGAGAGAAAGAAGTTATAACTCTGAAATATATCCCCAGTACATTACATATAAATGCATGTATGAAATTTACCTTGAGTATTGGTGGTCCCAGTACTCCAGGTGCCATATCCTGGAAAAAAAACAAACAAACAAAATTGAGCTATTATAGGGATTGGGTGTTTTATCCAGTTACCTATGGCATTACTATACCCTAAAACCCATAGAGCGCTTAATTGCACTTGTACTTTTATTGCTTGGGAGATGCACCTGAAGCCCAGACAAACTCTTTGTTCCAGATTAAATTTGTTTTTAGCAGTCTAAAGTGCAACAAGACAGTTTGAGATAGAGAGTTAAAAAGCGTGGTGTGTTTCTAAAGAAAAAATCATTTCTAAAGGTACTTGATGTCACTACCTCCAGCCAAGACGCGAACCACCGTCACCTCTGGCAAACTATATCAGCAGAGGCGTCGAGTCCAGATGATGCTATACAGCAAAAGGTACCTTTTCCTAGGATGGCTGCATTTGCCAGTAAAATTATACTTATAGGTGAGCTGCGGAGAGGTACATACAGTCAAGCACTAAGAAAGCCCCAAAAGACCTGCAACAGGCTTGGCAAACTCCAACCTGCTGAAAAGGCATCTGCCAGCTTCGGGACAGAAACAAGCTCCGTGCTTCCCCAACTAGCAATGAAACCTCGAGAGCCTCTCCCAAAATAACTTTTGAAAACTAAAGCAATATAGTCGGGAATTTCACTGAAAGCTCTTAAAATCTAAGGAGTCTTGGTTGTCACTACAGGAGAAAAAGAAAAATTTGCCTGTACTTAGTTCATATAAGTTATTCTGATCCAAAAAAAAAAAAAAAAAGAAGTTAGCCCAGAAGCAAAACTAATGCTGCCTGGCTACAGATAAGAGTGTTTCTACACCCACTGCATTAGCCCAAACTTCTCCCCATCGGCCTTCCCTTCCCCCACTGTATCCCTAGTTTCTCTTCCCTTTAATAACCCCCTCTTCCTCCAAGTATTCCCTAACCCAAGGCTGAGGCAGAGCCTGCCCACGCCAAAATACAGGCATGCACACTTCCTTCCTGCGAGGCAGACTACTGATTTAAGTCACTCTTCTATACCCAGCCACCAATTTTGCAAAACATTTATCTTGCAGACATGAGCTCCCTGCACAAACCTGCTCCAGGTTGACCAAGGATCTACAGGACACAGGCACTTTTTAACCCTTTCCCCCCCCCACCTCAAGCAACTAAGCTAAGCACACACTATACTAGAATTCCTCAAACGTGGAGTTGGGGGGGGGGGGGGCCTCTAAAAAAGCAGTGATCATAGAAGAGATAAGGGCGACTCCATT